CCAATTAATGCCCGGGGAGGAGGGGGAAAGACATGAGTCGCATAAAATGCAAACCCCTGCTGATCGCTCTATCGAACGATAGGAAAAAGCCGAGAATCATCGACGAATTAAGATACATAAAAAAGCAAACAAAAAATTCAGCTTCAACAATCATTTAAGAGCAGAAAATTCGCGGACAACAGATGAATTGAATGAAAATTGTGTAAAAAAAAGTGGCCGCACGAGGAAGAAGGGGACAGAGAAGACATACCAAACCTGGCGAAGAACTCCGGTGAAGCAAGCTGGGGTGATGAATCAAGGGGAGGAGATCACGAAAGCGGGCGAAGCAGGAAGGGTCATTGATTTTGTAGACAAAATTTTAGGGCTAATGAAATGAATTGAATTTTATTTTGAGACTAACATGGTCAAATCGAAACTTGGAACTTGTGGCCTCTATCGTACCCTTTCGGTCTTTAATATAGGACCCAATTCTTGAGTTGATTTTGGTCCTAAATATAAGACCCATTTTTCATATTTATTAATTTTTTCTAAATTACCCTTATAGATACTCTCTCACCCATAATCAATTAGAAGAGGGAGAGAGGGGTATTAAGAAAGATGATTATGGTATTTTGGGAAAAATGTGTCACTTTTCTTATAATTAACTAACTTACCTAATTTCCTTAATCTAATCAAATTAGTTAAATGGGTCTTATATTAAGGACCGGAGGAGTAACATTTATCATGCGCGGACAATTCTTACATTTCAGTGTCAAACTCAAAATATGAAAATAATACTATCCCGGTCATAAATATAAAATCTTTATATAAGTATGTATAATGGTTTTATATTTAGAACTAATATATAAGAGTTTTATATTTAAAACCGGAAGAATAATATGAAATCTTTTTTGTCCTATCAAGTGTCTTAAAATTTTGTGTTGACACCGTTTAAGCGAAGCTCATTCTTCTTTTGAGTATTTTTCAAAATAAAAATTAATATTTTAAACATAATAAATAAAAATAAATTATAGGAACTATAAAAAAAATACAACTAAATTTTAAGAACCTAGAGTAATATTTTTTAAAATATAAATATGAAATCCTTAGGCCTTGATGTATTGACCAAACAAGTTTTGAAGACCTTCATACTACCTCTGGTCCTTAACATTAAAACTCGTTTGATTTTTATTTTGATTTTAAATATCAAACTTTAATATATTTTTACTCTCATATTTTTTTTATTTTTTTCAAAATAGTTCTTATAATAATAGTAGTTTTAGTCAATATATTTTATTAATAAGGATATTTTAGAAAAAATAATATTTATTTATTACAGATAACTAACTTAACTAATTTGCTTAATCTACTCAAATTAATCAACTAACTCTTATATTAAAGATCGGAAGTAGTGTTAAAATTTGAAATATAGAGTGTAAATTATAACATCTCAATGTTAAATTTCAAAAAATAACTGTAAAATTCTAAGAAAAAATCTCAAAAAAAAATCTTTTAAATTTCAAAATCTCAAAGGTGCAAAAATGGGTTGTTATATGTTTTGTAATATAGCTAATTATTGTTAAGATGCAGTAAATTTCCAAGAAGTTCCCCCTCCCCCGAAATTCTAATAAATAAATATATTGTCTATTAAGTTTTTTTGAGAATGAATACTCAGCATTAAAATTTGAAACGTGAGGACTAGGTTGCTTCGTAAGCTGAGACAAAAGATTAGTCTTGATATAAAATTCATTTGTTTGATCCCAGGCTGTCATTCTTCCTAATTTTTGTACCTCAAGAAGATTCTAGAGAGGTGGTGTAGTTTCTTTCTTCTTTTTTTGGTAAATGGGTCTGTTTATATTTTTTTAATGCCATGGGCCAATTTATGGTGCACATTGGGACCCAGTAACTTTTTTCCCCTTTAAGACGTAAGTATTCTCATATTAGAAGTAATTTTATTCAAGATCTGTTCGATACTAAATATGAGCAACTTTTCTAACAAAAAATTAAACTTTAATTTGTCATTTTGTGAGGAATTAATCACTCCTGTTAAGCCTACCTCCTACCTCCTGTGGGTGCGCCCAGCGACCTAAGAAGTGTACATATAAGCAAGCGAGGTGATGGAATTTGGTCCAAAAAAGTTTGGTCGAACGAAGCCCAACGTATATGCACAGCTTTGAGCTTTCAAAAGTGAAGAAATCATCTGGAGAACAAGGTTTGTGGACTGATGTTCTTCTACACAAATACATGGTGAGAAATGAAAATAATTTGCTGGAGGCCAAGAATGGGGATTCACATATATGGAAGTTTATATCTCAGCAACAGCACCTTGTTGACATGGGTTCGAAGTGGATTGTAAGAAATGGTCAATCTATACATTTCTTTACGGATAAATGGTTGTCAACTGGAGAAACTATTAAAGACTTCTGTCTTGGACCTCTTTCTACAGAGGAAGAAGAGAGCAAAGTTGCAGATTGGGTTGCTTATGGAACCTGGGACTTTACAAGATTAGCTATGATTATTCCAGCTAATATTTTGCATAGTCTGATTGCTAAATTACCTCCGATGCCAACGGCTGGTGAAGATACTCTAACTTGGGGGGCGAGTGGGCGACTGCAAATGGGATCTTTTCAGTCAAAAGTGCTTACTATTTGCTGGAATAGGGTGAAGATTCAACCTTCAAGAAGGTTTACAAAGCCATTTGGAGGTGGAAAGGTATTGAACGCATCAGAGTTTTCATGTGGATTGCCTTCCATAATAGGCTTCCAACAAAAGCGTGGAGGAGTATGTGGGCCGCTACTTCCCCAATATGCGATTTTTGTAATCAAGGCATAGAGGATACTCTTCACATCTTGCGTGATTGCCAATTTGCCAGTAATTTATGGAAGCAGGTTTTGAATCCCCTATTTCTTCGCTCCTTCTTTGGAACTTCCCTATAGGACTGGTTTAAGCTGAATCTGAATAGAGATCTGAGTTCTACTACGAATGGATCATGGGATTAAATTTGGGGATGCACCATATGGAAGCTTTGGAAATGGCGAAATGAAGCTCTCTTCAATCCACAATTCACAAGGCCCGAGGAGCCAGCTGATTGCATAATGAACTGTTGGAGGAATTACGCCCAAGCTCCTGAGGTCCTAGCTGATCACGATTCCCAAGCCTTGCCAATGTGGAAACCTCCTACTGAAGAATGGGTGAAGTTAAATGTTGATGGAGCAGTTTCTTTGGCTTCACACAAAGCTGGATGTGGAGGAGCCTTAAGAGATCACAGGGGCAATTGGATTGCTGGTTTTTCTTATTTTATAGGATCATGTGATGCTTTAGAGGTAGAACAATGGGCTGCTTTCAAAGGATTACAGTTGGTGTGGGACATGGGATTCAGGAAGGCGATGCTGGAAAATGATTCTCAGCAACTAATTCATCTAATAAGAAAGAAAGTCGACACTACGAACAACAGTATCTTGTTGCTGCAGATTCAAGACCTTTTAGCCTGTAATTGGCAAGTGGAGATTCAGTGTATTCCCAGAGCAAGAAATCACGTGGCAGACTCTCTTGCCAAGGAGGGTCTAAGCAAATCTTCTTTCTTCAGCGCTTGTCCACACTGGTTAAGGAATTTAGTGGAAGCTGAGCAGATGGGATTAGAATCCCCTTTTGGTTAGTCTTTTGTTTTAGTTGGGCTTAGCCCTCTCTCTTGTAACCAAAAAAAAAAAAGTGAAGAAATCATCCATTTAGGGGGTGTTTGGATAGAAGCCAAACCATGGTTTCAGAAGTGCTTTTACGGATTACGAAGTAAATATGTAGAGGAGGTTACCTCGTTTTGCGGAAAAGTGATTCTGAAACCGTGGTTTTGGTTTTGCCAAACAACCCCTTAACCGACGAGGGTTTCGGTATTATTTGAACGGTTCAAAAAAATTTTAAAACAACGTTTAATAAAAGAGCGTAAAAGTTTTGATAATTTGTATATTTTATTTTTTTAATAAAAAATTATGATAAAGTGTTGAAAAATCAAAATATAAAAAAAAGTCTTTAAATCAAAACAACTTTAAGCAATTTGAATTGCGTGGTGCATATTTAGATAAGACGACGAAAACGATGATTAAGAAGAAATAAAATGGATGGAGAATAATAGCAGGGATGGGCAGGTAGCTGTAAGTGTCAGTTGGTAGGATTTTGGTTGTATGCCTCGTCTTTACTGTACATGTGAGTACATGCATGCATGCAATTGCAAGGCATATATGTGAATCAGTAGTTATTGGAAATTATTTTCAACCGTCCTCTACAAAAGTGCTCCCAAAAAAAAAAATCTTATGCGAATGATACGAAGGCATTATTAAATAAATTCTGATATATATATATATATATCTCTCTCGAAACAGCAATTTCTAGGATCTCTTTTATTAAGTTATAAATGAATTTGAAGTTTCCACATAGGACTTTAAGCGGGCAGATTATGCAAACCAGAGGATTAATTATCCCAGTTGAATTTTAAACTAAGCATCGCATTCATTTTATAAGGAACACTAGAGATGTTGAATGGTTAAATTTGTTAGAATGATGTGAATATAGAGATTGAATGCCGCACGAGAAGACAATCATTGAACTCATTTTAGGCCAATATGCAAATACAGAATTGAGTTTTTCATAATCTACCGACTCATTCTAATGTTGCTCAACGGGTTTTAATCAACCGTCCAGTAATTGGGTCAGTTTCTTCGCCGAAAACTCCTGTTTCTTCCCTGCAACTAAAGGCGTTAATAGGCACAACTGTCCATTAGGCAGAGGCAACGCCAAGAATCGTACACACGAACACTCGTGCCCGACCAGCGATGCATGCATGCGAATAGGAGTTCTGCGCATTCAATTCAAAACAAGGCCGCTTGACGATTGAACATCAATCGCACACCTTCCCCGAAAGAAAAGGTAATGAAGAAGTGCCATTCTATCCTCACATGTCATCACCTCACCACGAGTAAAGCAATTCGGGAATCTGCAGAGGCTTTGATCTGGTTTCGATATTGTAGAAGAAAACAGAATTTTGTTTCCTTTTCTATTTAGAAGAAGGCTAAGAAGTTTTACAATTTTCATCCTATGCTGTACAAAAAAAGAATTCCTATGTAAATTAGTTGAAACAATAGCCCCCCAAGAAAAGAATCCTATATGTTGTTCCCTATTCACACGAAAGAATCAATCAACGAATCCTGTTAACCACTGCCGGAATGAATAACTGGTATCACTGATGTTCCCCTGGTCAATGGCAACGGCTGGCGATCGTGTCCTCGGGACATGCCTGCCCTATCAGGTGATGTCCCCCACAACCCAGTGGGGCGGTTGTCACTTCTTGGAGAAAGACTCACTTGCTCCAGAGCTTGGAACTGAAGCTCACAAGGATACTCTCTCACACACCCGATGCGAGGTCCCGCTCCGGTCGTCCACTTGCAAGATAGATGTTTCCCCAGTTGGTATGATCTGCTTATCTTCAGTGAGCTTATCCTTTTCACAATTGACTCTTCCGGAATGCTCCCCGCTTCCTCATTCTCTTTTCCATCCCACCCATCTGCCTTACACTCCACACTTCCTACTGCTTTCTCTTCACCACTTGCGGGTGATTCCATTTGTAGACTCTCGTTACTTTGGTCATCAGCTTTCTCGCTCCCCGGCTTTCTGAATGATTCTACCCTTTTGGGAATTTCAAGATTGGTCAGTTCTCTTCCAAAAGCCTGCACTTGCCTTGTCCTTTCTGACCCAGCAGTTTCTGATTCTGTTGATGTGGCCTTCTCGTCAATGGAGTTTTTGACGGCCGACTCCTCATTCTCAGCGAAATCCTCATCAGCTGAGAGGCTTCTAATATGACCACCGAATCTCTGTGAGAGTGATCCACTATCATCAACAACTGCAGCCATCTGCATATTGCAATTCGAATATCTTCAGGCTAGGTTGTTTTAAATGTTTGAAAGGGATATAAACCATGATTGGCACCCAAAAAAAAAACAAAAAAACAAAAAGAAGAAGAAGAAGAAAATAATCGTAGACTTTCGATACCTTGACATCTGAGAGGTTCACATTGTTATCCTGAAGGAATGAAATGAGTTCCTTGAAATTCTCTTCTGTGGGACGATAGTGACCACTGTGAGGCCAAACTGCCTGTTCAAAATCAAATACTAGAATCATTTAGTGAGCCTGCTATTTGAACGTAAGCTGCAAAATGACCACAGGAATCTGGCAAAACAGAACACAACATTCGTAAACCTTCTTCTGCCGGATCCATACCTTCAAAACGCCATATTCCACAACTAGTCTCCCAGCAGCAGATGTGGCTCCTCCGGCCAAGAAACTTGAGTGCTGAAATGAACCTTTCTTCTTCTTTCCAACATACAAGGCCTTAGATGTGCTAAGGACGAAAATCCATTTGGCATTTTCGCCTCCAGTAGTGTGAAGTAGCTCTCCTGATTGCTTGTAGATGAACCTTCCATCCTCCACTACAACTTCATAAGCCAACCTTTCCATCTGAAAAGAAAAAAATGATAATAATGAACATATATTAAGCCAAAGGTTAATCAAATGCATGTTTCGAATAAAAGATGCTCATATTAATCTGCAATCTTACCGGACCAAGATATTTGATGCACTGCAGCTGAAGTTTAGATCGAGGGCACTTCTCAAGATTGACCTCCCTCCCCTCTCCTATATCTAGCCTGTGATTTGGAAGGATAAACTTTGATATCAAACTTCTGTCATTAACTAAAAATATCCCTTAAAACAATCTAAATGATAATTCACAAAAAGTATTACCAGTAGAAGAATGGTTCTCTGCTCTGGCATTGAAGCCATTTATCATAATAAAAGTGTAGATTATGTCCATATCGATGACGTGGATCAATCTGTTTCACATGCACGCAAAACATTCAAGTCAATAATGATCAATAAATGACCAGCAGAGCGATTATGAATGATAAAGAACAAATATGCTCATGCATTTGACTAACCGCTTCAAGCCAGTGCTGCAGAGCAAGTTTTTGAGCTTTATCATCTTTTGATAAGCCTTTTCCAACCTGCAAGGAGAGATGATTTAGATTCTTCTTGTGCAGTTCAAAAACTAAAATGCCATAGATTAGATAGAGCTATATAGGTAGCGTAGGGTGAAAAAATACCTTGGCAGCTCTGGTTCTAGCTCTAGACCAACGTGAAATGGCTGTTTCTTGTTTCTCAATGTCGAAAAAGGATATGGAACTGTGCTTGAGTTCAGCAAAATCTAGGAGCTTCCACCTATGGTTAAACAACACAAGGATCACATCAAAACGTGATAAGAGCCTAACAAGAATCTGTAAACAAGGGCATGGGCTTTCACAACAATTAATACATACCACCTTTGCTCAACAATAATTGCACAATCTGCAAGCTTTCTTCTAGTTCGAAAACTCTTGTATACCTTCTGCAATTTAACTGCAGCCATGTGTTTGGGGTTGTTTGGATCCAAAAGAGCTGACTGGATCTTTTCCACTTGACACTCTGATCTGAGAAACTGGTCATCCATCTCTTTGCTCCTCTCACTGACCCTTGATGGTGGCATGTTTTTCTCGATGTCAATAGGCATAGTCTTGGTTAACATCGTGTTCTCCGCTTCATTTCTCTTGAAGCTTACTGACGCCTCTATCATCATCTTCCCAGAACCTAGGGATTTCAGCACTGTGGGTTCTGAGTCTTGGTTCTTGAAACTGACAGACCGAACTGGAGTTTTGACTTCTTCATCACCAAAGTCGATGGATTTTACAACTACAGATTCTAGGCCATCTTCGACATTAGCGTATTTTGCAAACGGACATGAAAAATAAATCCCCATATGACAGCAAACCAAATCTGCAGGAACCTATGATCTGTGGTCCTGTAAAAACATTAAAAATTGCATAGAAATCAATATAACATTACTAGACAACGGAAAAGCCAAGTTCTGACTGCTGCTCAAGATTAAAAATTCCAAACATTGCTGCTGCTCAAATCCATCAGGGTAATGGATAAAGCAAGTGAATTTTTCCAGAATTGTCTCATCAAAGTAAGGCAAAAATCTGAGGCAATGGCAGGAAAATCTCATTCTAGTTTAACAAACAAATCCAAAGCCAAAGAATTATCTTTGAAATGAGGACAAATCAAATAACAGGGAATGCCTCATTCAGTGGTGGTGGATACGGACTATATGGATCCTGGAAACTTTCACCGAAACATCAATACTGAACAAGAAACAATGGGAAAAGAAAAACGAAGGCGTTGCCACATGGGAGGATCACATGCAGGACTCAAATAACAAATACCCAGTACAACTGAATAGAACCTCCAGAACATTCAGAACCGGTATGATGAATTCATAACGCGACAAAAGAAAACCGAACCGGAACTGGGTACTATGCAAGAGATTGTTGAATAAAAGGAAATGGAAGAGAAACACGGCTTGGTGGTTGATGGAGGGGCAGTACCTGACGATTTTTAGAAGCAAAAATCCTGGCAGCGTTTGAAGCAAGGTACAATGGCTATGGAATTGGAAGGCAGGAAATCCAGATTTCACTTGTAAATGAAGATACTCCGGAGAAGCCGATTCATATATATATAATATACATGGCAAAACTGTAGGATGGAAAGCGAAAGCCAGTGAGAGGGTTTCCCAGGAGAAGAGAGAGAGAGAGAGTCTTCTAACCACGTGGGGTGGACAAGTAGACGTAGGTTTGTTCACCGGCAGCATTACGCCCTCTTCCCCAGTTGTTGCTATAATAATTAATAATATAAATGGTCCCAATTTTACTTTTATCCGAGTCTTTTTTTTTTTTGACAGAGAATTTTATAATAGACAAGACAACGATTAGATCCTCGTCAAAAGTTTTCGGTGCGCCCCAGTTATAATTGGTTTTGAGGATTCTCGAATGGCGAAGGATGGTGCTGGACATACAAACTTCCTGAGTTATATTTGTCTTCTCTGTGTTTTTTTCTGGGTCACTTTGCTTAGAAATGTTTCGTTTTATTCATTGTACGACAAAAATTTAACGTTGTAGGCAGTTTGGGAAATCTAAGACAGCATGAATTCTAATTCTGGGAAGAGATGAGAGGGGGAGTGAAATGATTTTGGGGAATGGTTAATAGGTGTAGGTGTGGAATTAATGCCGAAGTGCCGTAAAAGCGGTGCGTAAATTGAACGTGACGTTAATGAATTACTTGGGACATAATTTCTGAGAAGCGGACAGCGAAATACTAAAAAGAAGCGGGAAATGGATAATGAATTATGAAGGGAGGAATGAGCGTGATGGCACAGGATATAGGGTGTCGCCACTGCTTAGCTCATTCTTGTTCTTGCGGTACCTTACTCCCCAAGCTTTTCTTTTCTTTGACAAATTCAAGTCTAAACCACCCGACCCGTACATGGGACACGGACAACGCAAAAATACAGAATTAAATATTGACCTGCTACTATTTTATCAGTAACCTTCACATTATTGCTTGGCTTCGCACGTATCTTTGACTTCCCCGCCGGTACATGCGTATGCATACTGTATACGTATATATAGTCATCATTAACAGTACGTAGCCAAACATTAAGGGGATTTTGCGTGGAAGGTGGGATGGATGTGTGAAACTATTTTTCCTCGGCATTTAACTATTACAAGTATTTAAATTCTCTGTGTAAGCATATTTTTTAGTGAGGGATTCAAACGGGTTAGCTTTTTGCGATAGATGTAAATACTCTGATATGATAAATAATACCAGTACGATGACTTGAAAATATTAGAAAATACAGTAGTTGAAATACGCGTAATCTAGTAATCCAAATTTAAAAGGAATAAGATGGTCAACTGGGAGTTACATTCTGTGAAGAGCAGGGGGAGAGAATTGTACCTGGGAGACTTGCTGGGAATCTTCTGGGTTGGTCCCACGGGTTGACTAGCTCTAACTTGTGAACGGGTTAAGAACAAAAAGTGACATGCATGGCAGCCCAGGATTTGTCAAAAGCGATCACATACAGTGCTGGCTTATTTTTCGTCTTTATTGCAAATTAAATAGAGACATGAGCATGCAGTCTTGAGGTGGCACCTTAAATGCACAAGCACATATTATCTGTCCAACAAAATATTAAATCCCATAAAAATGTGCCTTATATCTACTTGGTTGCCCATAATAGGGATCACCGTTATGGTATCGGGCATGCATTTTGATTATTCAATGACAAATTTAGCTTTCATTTTTTTTTTCAAAAAAAGGGCATATAATAATAGGGATCACCGTTTTGCTTTTTTTTTTTTTAAAAAGCAAAATCTATTATGTAAGATTTTTATTCTTTTTCACTTTCACCCTTCATTTGATGTCATATTAATTTAAATATTAACTATTTTCGTTCAGTGCACTTCATCTGACAAGAGTATTATTAGGAATATGTGATAATAATGCCTTAAAATATGAAATATATTATAAGACACCCCCTCTAATACTGGACATTTTTTAGGAGTAATGACTCAATGACTGGCTTTGCCACGAGTTGCTACAAGTGGTGATTAATTACTTTTTTTTAATCATTTTAAAACTTGATGCAATTTTCTTTTTTTTTTACCCACAATATATTACCTTCCGTCTTAATTATAAGGCACTGTTTATAATCTACAAATAAAATCTTATAATTATGACCAGGGTAGTATAAACAAGTCAAAGCAGGACAAGTGACGGAATAAGTATACGCCCTCACATGTATCAGCACATACACATACATACATATGTGTGTGCGTGTGTGTGTCTATATATATATATATGTTAATTTCATGCCCTCGGTCTTTGGTTTGGGAGGGGTGGTGCGCTGGCGCACGCGCAGTTAGCATGTGTGGAGTGTATTCTCAGGCCTCGGCCTCATCTCCTTTTTTGTTTGTTTGTTTGTTTTTTTGGAGGGGATACGAAGGAAAGAAAAGCACCTCGTCTCTCCTCGTTAAAGTCAAAGTCATTACGCATTTTGGCAGTCGTAGCATGTGGCCGTGATTTCACACTACATGTATTGGCGACGGAGGATGATCATAAAGCTCCCACCTTTCGTCAAAAATACTTCACGCTTACTCCTCATTTACATCGCAATTTGTGAATTGTATATGCGAGTCAATACGAAGGGAAGGCCCGGCACAATTTCTCTTGGATAAAGCTTGACCTCACCCGATCGATGCTTTAATTGTGGGTATTATTCTATTACTTTACACGTAATCCGGTACGTATATAGCGTCACCGAGCTCTGTATATAACTACCTATATAATAATCACTATTTTTATACTCCTCCGGTCCTTATTATAAGACCCAATTTGACTTTTTATTTGGTCCTAATTATAGGACCCAATCCATTTTGTCTATTATATTTATGCATTTTTTTCCAAGATAATCCTTCTAATAATGATAGTTTTAGCCAATATACTTAATTAGCAAGGATATTTTAGGAATGACAACACTTATTTATTATAAATAACCAACTTAACTTACTTCCTTAATCTCCTCAAATAAGTCAATTGGGTCTTATAATTAGGACCGGAGGAGTATATACGTAACACCCCCTAAAATATATAAATATATATATATATATATTTAAAAGTGCGCCTAGAATAGGCCAAACAGCAAACACTTGTAATAAATATATTGAGCATGTGTCGGAAAGCGGTGTACAGCACCATCCCCGGGTTTTATATATTCCTGTTAAACAAACGACAAATACCAAACACTTGTACTCTGCTGCATTAACCAGGGCATTATATATGGTTACTATTTTTTAAATGAAAGATGTTATGCAATTAATGACACCAATTTATTTGGAGACAGGACTGAATATATAAGGAGGGCAAAATAAATGCTACTCAGTCAGATTCTTCATAGTGGGGCTTTCTCATAAGAACGTAACTAGATACCAGTCCATATATATGGTCGATGATGTTGTTGTTGTAAGAAGGGGGGAGGGATTGAGTTGGAGATTGGTAGGGTGGGAAAAGTGAGCAATTAATAAAGAGATTGCGATCTGCGTGATGAGAGGAAGGAGGAGTAGATTGGAGAATGCGGGCAACATTCATTCATTAATTAAAAATGCACGTAGCAGGACTAAATGGGTGTTTAGCAACCTCCAAATTATGGTTTCAAAGTATTTTTTCATAGAACGAGGCAAATTGTTCCACCTATTTACTTTGTAAACTATAAAAACACTTGTGAAATCATAGTTTGGTTTCTATCCAAACACCCCCTAATTAACAATGCAAGAGGGATATTAGAGGCCAGATATACGGAATGTGCAGTGACATAATCGACATGCATGAGGGAGAGGGGTGATTAATATATACTACTACTTCCCGTGAGAACTCAGATATAAATAAGATTTTATACTTAGAATTAGAAATGCTATTGTTGATATGATATGGGGTCTGAGTGACCGAGAGTGCCTTCCTTCGGGGCAGCGTACGTAGATCTCGAGAGATCCACTGAGGTGATCTGTCACCCTAACCGTACGAGCAGACGTGATCCATGCTTCCATCCATCCATCCATTTTCTTATTAAGAATGGAATTAAACGGATGAGACATCCAACTGTCATGACCATGCATCATCGTCTTTGAGCCCCCCATTATTTACGCATCCATTGCCTAAACAGCGGCAATAATAGTACTCCGTTTTGATTTCATTTGGATTTTGCTGGGGAGGGGAGGCTGCTTGGTACGGCAGGAGACGCACGCGTGGCACTCCAGGAACGGGCCACACCTCAGGGACTTGGCGGTGGTCTCCTCTCTATCCTATCCTCAGGGCTGTTTACAGTACAAATCGAGACTGACCCATCCTAATTCCGTCCTGATAAACAGCACAGTATCCTATCCTGTTTTGATGTTGTCTCGATCCCCATTAAGACGGGACGGAATAAGAATGTCTTGATATGATTCTTTTTAATGCTTTTTGAGTTGCTAGACCTGTTGAATAAAATCTGATTTTTTTTTTATTTATTTGTTTTTTTTGAGCTTAGCTCTTATAAAAACATTTTTTTTTTCTTTTTTATTTCTTTGGGCATCTTTAACCCAAAGCCTAAAATATTACATATAATAGTCATTAAAAACTTTAAATAAAAGCTTTTAATACAATAAAAGCTTGTTGGAAGTTTTAATCGTTAATAGTCTCAAATCATTAACAAATACAAAAACTCTAAATAATGGATCCACAGTTTCATATAATAATCTCAAATCTTAAAAAAAATGAAAATAAAATAGTAATATGTATTAATAAATATGATAAAAATGGAAACAAAAATAAAGGAACGGGGACGGGATCCCTTTTTTATCCCCTCTTGGTTTGTCCTGTTCAAAAATTTTTTTGAAAAGGACCGACTGGGACAGGTCGGCCTTAAATACCCCTATCTATCCTCATCATATTTATCGCTGTATGTTATTGCTTCTCTTTACTTCTTAGTGTACACAAAGCATATGTTGAATTGAAACCCCCCCCCCCCCCCAAAAAAAAGAGCACTGGAGCGGGTATTTTCATATTTATATTTCAACGGAATCAATTACGCACCTCA